TGTGTCTGTCCTGGGAGATAATTGAATTACTTATCTCCAGGATAGAAGACTCTGAAACTGGTTTGGGCCAGAAAGCCATGCTTCATTTAGTCACAAAGGACTTTTTACTAACTTTTGAACCCCTTGTCTGATTTGTGCCATTTTTGAATATGTTGTTCCCCTGAATGGATTGATTGTGCATATGTAATTTTATGTGAATGTGATGTATGGTTTTGGAGTTATGAAAGTTGGGTAGAAAGTATGTTTTAACTGTTTGTATAATTGAGTTTCCTCTCAGGATAAGGGGAGGGAATATGTGGGATGTAACTGTGATATGATTGGTTGTTTTATCCCTCCCTGTGGGTGGTCCTGTATTTGAAACACTGTAATAAAAACCAGGCTGGGTGTGCCAGCACCTCAGACCACTGCTTGACCCTCAACACGGAGCCTTGTCTCGTTCTTGGGGGGATTCACTGTATGCTGTTAGAGACTGATTGCCAGGAGTGTAAGCTGTTCGTCTGCTTTTCCTGTTCGTCTGCTAGCAGCTATTTGGGAGGTTCCAGTTCGGGAGTTGGAGTGCTATTTTGTATCCAGTTCGTGAGTTTTGGTGTTCTGCAGTAGCTGTGCCTGGATCTCTGGAAAGGGGGCCGATCGCCTAAACGGTTTTTACCCCTTGTGTGCAAAACGGTCCGTTACAGTGACATATAACCACAAGTGAGACTTATATTGATGCACGAGGGAGCTGAAGAGGAAGTACTCAGCCAGGGAGAGTGCTCCCTCGCGTGTCCACCCACCGGGTGTCACCACTGGACCCCAGGGAATCCCCTCAAGGAAAGAAATTTGAGGGGGGGGAGAGGAAGGACATTTGGGGGGGGAAGGACATTTTGAGGGAGGGGAAGGAAGGACATTTGAGGGAGGAGGGAGGAGGGGGTAAGGAAGGACATTTGAGGGGGGAGAAAGGAAGGACGTTTGAGGGAGGGAGGAAGAAAATTTGAGGGAGGGTTAGAGGAAGGACATTTGAGGGAGAGGAAGGAAGTAGGGGGGGAGAGGAAGAAGTGGAGGGGGAGAAGAAGGAAGTTGGAGGAGAGAGAAAGAAGGAAATTAAGAAGGGAAGTGGAGGGAGAAAGGGAAGGAGGGGTAGAAGAAGGAAGTTGGAGGGGGAGAAGAAGAGGGGAGAAGAAGGGAAATTGGAGGGGGGAGAAGGAAATTGGAGGGGGGAGAAGTAAATGAGAAGGAGGGGGAGAAGAAGGAAATTTGAGAGGGGGGAAGAATAAGGAAGTTGGAGAGGGAGGGGGGAGAAGGCAATGAGAGGGAGGGGGAGAGGAAAGGGGTTAAAACTTACCTTTTTCCAGCGCCGGGCGGGGAGCTCTCTGCCTCCGATCCTCCTCCTCTCCTCCCATTCGGCTGAATGCGCACGCGCGGCAAGAAACTGCTATGTTTATAAAAAAAAATGGGTTAACCCTAGCTGGACCTGGCACCCAGACCACTTCATTAAGCTGAAGTGGTCTGGGTGCCTAGCGTGTTCGTTTAACATGGCAGATCATATGGGTGGAGCATTGTGATGTCACATGGGGGGGCGGCAAACTTTACTTTTGCCTAGGGCGGCAAAAATCCTTGCACTGGCCCTGCAGACACTGCATCTCTGTGGGCAGACTCGGGGGGGGGGCAGCACTTTGGGCAGGCTCGGGTGCAGGCACCGGGGGGACCAGACCTTGTCAGGGGCCCCAAAATTTCTGATGGCAGCCCTGGCTGTATGTGTGTGTGTGTGCTGTATGTGTGTGGGTGCTGTATGTATGTGCTGTGTGTGGGTGCTGTATGTGTGTGATTTGTGTGTGTGGGGGTGCTGTATGGGTGAAGGTGCTGTATGTGTGTGCTGTGTGTGTGTGCTGTATGTGAGTGAGGGTGCTGTATGTGTGTGTGTGCTGTATGTGTGTGGGTGCTGTATATGTGAAGGTGCTGTATGTGTGTGCTGTGTGTGAGTGTGTGTGCTGTATGTGTGTGATCATGTGTGTGTGCTGTATGTGTGTGGGTGCTGTATGTGTGTGCTGTATGTGTGTGAGTGTGCTGTGTGTGTGTGTGTGTGTGTGTGTGTGTGTGTGTACTTTGTGTGAAGGTGCTGTATGTGTGTGTGTGTGCTGTGTGTGTGTGTGAGGGTGCTGTATGTGTGTGTGCTGTGTGTGTGTGTGGTTGCTGTATGTGTGTGGGTGCTGTATGTGTGTGTGTGTGTGTATGTGCTGTGTGTGTGTGTGTGGGTGCTATATGTGTGTGTGTGCTGTATGTGTGTGTGTGTGCTGTGTATGTGTGAAGGTGCTGTATGTGTGAAGGTGCTGTGTGTGTGGGGGTGCTGTATGTGTGAAGGTGCTGTATGTGTGTGCTGTGTGTGTGTGTGTGTGGGTGCTGTGTGTGCTGTATGTGTGAGGTGCTGTGTGGGTGCTGTGTGTGTGGGTGTGGGTGTGTGTGCTGTATATGTTTGGGTGATTGTGGAGGGTGGAGGTGGGGGTACGTTACTTAATATCTCCCCTCCCTTCTTACCTTATGTAGGGAGGGGGGATTCTTGTTCCTGCTGCTTTCCCTGGTGGTCCAGTGGAGAGTGAACTCTAGCCCCTGTGGGTCTACGCTCCGACCTCGTGAGAGGAACCCAGTGGAGCTGCTGGTTGAGGTCCTCTCCTGCCTCCCTCCATGCTGCAGTGGGAAGAGAGGCTGAGAGCAGAGCCGGCGCTCTTATAGCACCGGCTTTGCATGCGCCGACAGGGAAGATCCTGAGATCTCCCCTGCTGGTCTCACTCCATAGGCATGCCGCGGGGATTAGGGTGTGCCCAGGCACACCCTGAACACCCCGTGCGCACGCCTATGGGTCACATTTAGGAGATTTATGCAGTGAGCATTTAGGTAAGTTTATACAAGGATGTTTGGTGCAAAAGAGTGCTGATAATCAGGGACGTATTAGCCGCGAGGCAAACAAGGCATTTGCCTTGGGCGGCATTTTTCAGGGGGCGGCAAAAAACGCCGCCCCCCAAATGCCCAGGGCAGATGCCTTGTTAGCCTTGCGGCTAACTGACATCCCGGGCGGCCGGCGAGGGAGCACTTCCCATGAGCTGACTGCTCAGCTCCCTCGCGCACCGCAAAGTGAGGCTGGGAGCCGGAAGATGACGTCATCTTCCGGTTCCCAGCCTCACTCTGCAGCCGACGCGCGAGGGAGCTGAGCAGTCAGCTCATGGGAAGTGCTCCCTCGCCGGCCGCCCACCTGCCAGCGCCGCCCGCCCTGCAGCCACTGGACCACCAGGGAGAGAGACCCCCCCCCCCAGCACTCCCAAAGGTAAGGAGGTTGGGGGGGGATTTAAATTTAAAAAAAAGTTAATGTGTGTGTGTGTTTGTGTCTGTGTTTGTGTATGTGTCTGACTGTGTGTGTGTGTGTGTTTGTGTCTGACTGTGTGTGTGTGTGTTTGTGTCTGACTGTGTGTGTGTTTGTGTCTGACTGTGTGTGTGTATGTGACTGTGTGTGTCTGTGTGTGTTTGTGTGTGTGTTTGTGTCTGACTGTGTGTGTCTGACTGTGTGTGTGTGTTTGTGTCTGACTGTGTGTGTGTGTGTTTGTGTATGTGTCTGACTGTGTGTGTGTGTATTTAGAAGGTGGGGCGGGGGGAAGGGTTGGGTGGGGGTGGCACGGGGGGGAGGGGGGCGCCTGAGTTTTGTCCTGCCTAGGGCAGCACAAAACCAGGATACACCACTGCTGATAATACAAGTATGCATTGGGTAAAGTAGTGCTGATAATGCAATGAGACATTGTGAAAAAGAGTGCTAATAATGGACAGCCTCAATTTATCTCACCCATATAATCTTAATAGGTGTGCAGGCATAGTGTCACTGTATATTGCAGATGTAAGCTATGTATGATTACTGTTTAAACAGACTCAGTATATGTAACTGATATATCTGTGTATAAGGTGCTGTCAGAAACATCCACAATGTATGTAATTCATATAATCTGTATGCGGGTTGTTAGTATTAGATAACTCCAATTTATGATAATTTCCTATTGATTCTTGTTTGGCTTTGTAAAGTCTTCTAAGGTTTATACAGCTCAATAATGGTTTTATAGCTATTAGCTGTTTTTGAACTCTGTCCCTCCCTCTATATATACTGCTTGGGTATTCCCCATGAGTAAATGCTGCCATGAATAATGGTCAGGAAAATGGAAAATTGTTTCATACTTACCATAATTTTATTTTCCTGATAATTATTCATGGCAGCATTACGTTCCCACCCATATACTATAGGAGTTGTGAAGCTAGTTACAAAGACTACCTGGTGGGAAGGGGGAGGATCTATTTATACCAGTTTCAAAGTTCTATTTCCTGTCCTTTCTGCTGTAAGGGGAGGAGCTAACCCATGAGTAAATGCTGCCATGAATAATTATCAGGAAAAGAAAATTACGGTAAGTATGAAACAATTTTCCACTTTACTGCAGCCTTTGAAAACCTTCCCCTTTTTCTCTGGCACAGTACTAGAAGATTGACCAATCAGGAGCTTCTTATTGAAAAGCCACTGTGATGGAGCTGTAAGCTAACACAAATGGCTTCTCGTTCATTATCAGTGGAAAGTGGTGATGGTAGACATATCTGCAACTTCTATTAGCTCTGTGATGATTGACTTATGAGCAGACATTTTGGCATGCACTTATAAAACTCGCAATTTCTATTAAAATAATCAGTTTTGTAAATTGTGGCGTGGAGGTGGGGGGAGATTAGACATCAGACAAGCCGAAATGCTTCATGTGTTTGGAGTGTTCCTTTAATTACACAAACCTTACACTGAGACTAGGAGGAAGTTTAGTTTATTTTGGGTTTTGTCCAGGGTTGTCTGGGTACATGTAGACTGTAATGTAGAAAGATAAGGAAGCTGAATACTGAACCGTCAGTGTGGTATTTACTAAAGGTATGACCAGCAATATAAATATAACATAGAGAAATAGTATAAATGTAGATATCCTGTTGGGAGCCAATCAGGACTGTCAGTAAAGCTGTCAGAACATGGTGTGCCAGGTTGCCTTACTAATTCTGTCTGTATTGCACATGCAGTGTGCATATACCCCATGCTCTGTATTGCGCATGCAGCGTGCATAGACTTCATGCTCTGTATTGCGCATGCAACATGCATAGACTCCATGCTCTGTATTGCGCATGCAGCATGCATAGACTCCATGCTCTGTATTGCACATGCAGTGTGCATAGACTCCATGCTCTGTATTGCGCATGCAGCGTGCATAGACTCCATGCTCAGTATTGCGCATGCAGTGTGCATAGATTCCATGCTCTGTATTGCGCCTGCAGTGTGCATAGACTCCATGCTCTGTATTGCGCCTGCAGTGTGCATAGACTCCATGCTCTGTATTGTGCATGCAGTGTGCTTTGACTCCATGCTCTGTCTTGCGCATTTGTTTTTGGTGCAATTCAAAAATGAGAATTTTATGTGAATATAATGTTTAAAGTCAAAAGAGTTGATTAGGAATAAAAAGTCTCTGCATTAGTTTGTTTTCTGATCAGCTACTTTCTCATCCTGTTTATAACCTTTCAATGTATATCAGACAGCACTTCCAGTATGTGTGGAAGAGGTAAATGTCTGCTGCATAATTTGTGTCTTATTAATTACTTTTTATCAGTTTACTAGAGGAACTCGCTACCCTTTTACCAAACTGAGGGGTTAAATTGTTTTTGAATGGTTTACCACCAAATTTGGGTCCTCCCGGTGTCACCGCTTCACCTCGCCTACAATTAAAAGCCAACACTACATACAGACATAGCCCTACATTCACTCACACATACCCCATTCAAAAACAAACTTACCTTCAACACACAAACACCACTCAGTGCTAAATGCAATCCTGCAAGGATGGGCAAGTGGTAGGTCACCAGCTGGCAAAGCATTGTAGGAGTTGTACGACAGATGTAGATCTACCTTTTGGCCACCCTTGTGAAAGGGAGGGTCCCAAAAACCATCTTGCACCAGGGCCCTCTCTTCGTTAGTCCCACCACTGACTGTAGGGACAGAGTTGGTAAATTACTTACTGTATGTTATACTGCATATATTAGCGATGCAGCGCCAGTCATCATGACCAACAGGTGAAGGAGCTACATCAATGGAATGTAAAAATCCTGGCTCCGATTCCTAGATCTTTGTCAAAGTCAGCATTAGGTAGGTTATAGATGCAATGATTGGCCATAAACACTCCAGCTGTTCAAGTTAACTGTGATTCGCTGGAGGACAATATTAAACTCACAGTGAATATATAAATATAACCATTTAGAATGCAGCAGGCCCTCATATTTTACAAACTCCATGGTACAGATATAGCCATACTCAGTACAGCTTATCTTGCATCAAACATAATACAGAGAGCAGAACACTTTAGTTACATTGACGGTACTTTGCATTAAGCAGACTGTGCTGTATATGAGCGTATTTAACTTTAACAAGAAAATTCACATAGGCAAATATTGCAAAGAACAATTCAGTTTTAACAAAACAATGAAATAAAAGGAGTAATGTGATCCTGTATACACTGACTGTTTAGAATAATGACACAGAAACACGATGTTCTCAGAATAAAGGAGCAGGGTTATATTAACAGTTGTTGCTGCTAGGAATAAATGTAGGGTATAGGTATATGCATACGTGTTTATATCACCACTACTGGTATTGCTCACAAATATCCACATACATTCAGACGGATAGTAGATGAGAAAATTCACATACATTCACACTGATACCAGATATGAAAATAGGCATGAATGCCCACTGATACCAGATATGGAAATAGTCATACATTCACATTGGTATTAGATATGGAAATATGCATATATTCACATTGGTATTAGATATGGAAATATGCGTACATTCACATTGGTATTAGATATGTAAATATGCGTACATTCACATTGGTATTAGATATGGAAATATGCGTACATTCACACTGATACCAGATATGGAAATAGTCATACATTCACATTGATACTAGATATGAAAATAGACATACATTCACATTGATACTAGATATGAAAATATGCGTACATTCACATTGGTATTAGATATGGAAATATGCATACATTCACATTGATACTAGATATGGAAATAGTCATACATTCACATTGATACTAGATATGAAAATATGCGTACATTCACATTGGTATTAGATATGGAAATATGCGTACATTCACATTGATACTAGATATGAACATATGCATATATTCACATTGATACTAGATATGAACATATACATATATTCACATTGATATTAGATGTGGAAAATGGAAATAAAAAAATTAAATAAATAAATAAGTGTTTTTTTTAAAATTGAATATAAAAAATAAAAAATATTGAAGGATAAATAAAAGGATGAGTGAAATATTGAATGTATTGTTATAAAAAGAGTAAAAAATTCCATTATAAAAAGTTAAAAAGGTCAAATTCGGCATTTCATTTAATTTCTTCCCAATACCGAGGGCCTCTTTTGACTATCAACACCCATATCCTACCAGTGGGGGATCGACGCCACTGAATGCCAGTTATACCTGAACTAGTCCTAGCTCTCCAATAGGTGAGTGTAAATACCACCCTGTTGTGAAGTTTTCCTTTTCCGGTCATTTGCCATCTGCACTATTGGAGTTTCTTTTTTGTGTTCACATATTCAAACCTACACCGAGAAAACTCGACTATTTCAGGACCAACAATCCATTCAGATCCACATCAAACGCAAGCGCCTGCAAGCCTACCTGGTCCTCTTTCTGTCCATTCTATATCAGGACTTTTGTAAAATATATTTAATTGCTCTATCTGATATATGTAAGTACATTACTGCAGTTTATATTATGTTATAGTTTATTGTGACGCAAACTATTTTCCTTTTTTTGTCTACTATTCTTTTTTTGTGGTTTGTGAGGGAACCTCATATCCATAGGTTGCAGCCTTATACTTATCGTAGCTTCAGGTTGGTCATACAAGCGCTGATTCAACATCTATCTTTTAGATATGAAAATATGCCTACATTCACATTGATATTAGATATGGAAATATAGCTGGGTATAGCTGCCCATTCTTCTTGGCAAAATGTCTCCTGGTCATGCAAAGTCTATGGTAGTCTTCCATGAACCGCACGTTTGAGATCTCCCCAGAGTGGTTTGATGGTATTAAGGTCAGGAGACTTTTATGACCTCTCCAGAACCTTCACCTTTTTTTTGCTGTAACCACTGGAGGGTCAACTTGGTCTTGTGCTTAGGGTCATTGTCATGCTGGAAAGCGTACCAGGTGCAGCCTTCGTGCAGAAGAACGAAAATTGTCTGCCAGTATTTTCTGATAAGATGCTGAATTCATCTTGTGAATAATTTTCACAAGATTCCCTGTGCATTTAGAGCTGACACATCCCCAAAACATCAGTGAGCCACCATCATGCTTCACAGTGGGTATTCTTTTTACTATAGGCCTTGTTGACTCCTCTCCAAACATAGCGCTTATGGTTGTGACCATAAAACTCTATTTTGGTCTCATTACTCCAAATTAAAGTGTGCCAGAAGCTGGTCAAGGAGTTGTCGGCATATTGTAACCAGGTTTTTTTGTGGCATTGGCGCAGTAAAGGCAACTCGACCATGCAGCTAATCTTAGTTCAAGTATTGTTGTATCGTGCTCCTTAAAATAACCACAATGTCTTTTTCTACAGCAGCCTGCATTTCTCCCGAGGTTACCTGTGGGTTTTTCTTTGTATCCTGAACAATTCTTCTGGCAGTTGTGGCTGAAATATTTATTGGTCTACCGGACCTTAGCTTGGTATCAAGAGATACCCAAATTTCCCCTTTTTAATAAGTGATTGAACAGTACAACCTGGGATTTTCACGGCTTTTGGATATTTTTTTATATCCTTTTCCATCTTTATAAAGGTCCATTATAAAGTTATCGTTATGATTTAAATAGGAGCCAAAAACTATGTTATAATAAATGGCTTCATATGATCACTATCCTTCAATAAAATAATTTATTTTGCATGATCAGTCCTATTTTCAAAATCAATACCAAAATTTCACAATTACTGCCGGGGTATGCAAACTTTTAAACACAACTGTATAGAAATTCACATACATTCACAACTGATGCTAGATAAGAAAATACAAACACATTTACAGTGATGCTGGATATGAAAATGCACATTCACATTCACACTGATATTAGATATGAAAACACACATACATTCACACATTCATTAGATCAGAAAATTTGCATATATTCACATTGATACTAGATATAGCAATGGCACCTGTATCAGGAGCTGGAAGAAGTGGTGTTTGGTGGGTGGAGGGTTTTTAATATTGCACACTATATATATCGGTGAGTGTGCTTACTTTTTAAGGGCATTTATACATAGAAAAAGACACAGGAGTGCCGAAATGTCTGTCTTGTCATTAAATTTGGGTTTCACTAGTGGACCTTGTCTACTAAGCTGCACATTGTGTTGTACCTATTTTTGCTTGCCTGATAGATGTGAAAATACACATACATTCACACTGATTACTTAATATTTATATTATACACTGTTCACTGATTGGCCCATTTTCAATCCTTTTTGGTTTGTCTGAATCATTTTCCAGAATATTTTGCACGTACAATATTTGAAAGAGTTGAACCACCACATGGACGACTATCAGACTACTTGAAGTAAAATAATTTTCGGTCAAAGTGTTTAGGCCATTGTTTCTCTGTGCACAAGTCTATAAAATAATTAAATACTGCATATTTTATAAGTTATATGAATAAAACGCATACTTTGTATTGGAATATGTGCCAAAATAGCCTTCATGTGTAGGCTTCAAAGAATAATTCTTTCTTCTTGTGAAGATTTGATATCTTCTTTCTTTATCTTACTTATATACTTTGGCACAGGAGGCTGATTTGTTCTAGTAAGCAGTTACCGAGCAGGAGACAATAACATTCAAATAAAGCCACTCTCTCCAAAGATAGATTTGAAAATGAAGCTTAATTTGCAGGAAGTGTTTAAGGAGGCTGTGTGATCCATAGCCAGAATAGGTGTGGCGATTTAACTCCTAATTAGTAATAAATGGAGCATGGAGAATGCAGCTGCAGATCTATACACCAAAACCACTGCATAAAGTTGTTTGGATGCTTATAATATCCCTATAAGTTTCCAGATCTTCACTCAGGGCTGCTCCATCTATATTATTATTATTTTCAAATGTGCAGTAGGTGACAATAAATAGTATTTAATGGTTACAAAATGGCTGAATTGTTCTATTACTTATCATACTAAGCAAAATCAGAAAGAAGGAATAGTATATGAAAATGCAAGAAAGTCATGTTATGTGAATAGCAATAGCCAGTCATTTTAATGTAGTTTTATTGTGATTTAATATTTATTATTATCTGTATTACACT